AGCCTTTTCCCCCTGAGATTTACATTCTTGCTGCAACTATTCGTTGTTTTAGAATTTTTCCTCTTACTATAGCCCTCATAAGGAATCTAACTGTAAAAATAATGTTTCTTTCTTTCTTTTAAGAGTAATTCATTGCAATAAAATTATCGAAAAGTGATAAACATAGGGAATGGGGTACCCAGAAAATGAAAAAAACGAGGGTCATATTAGTGTTTAAGAGGTCATTTTACAAGAGAGTTTTTTTTTTCATGCAGCGCAGTATAATAGCATTCAAAGAATAATCGATACTTTTTAACTAGTTGGATATGTTTTTGGTTATGAAAGGTAATTTTGATCTAAAATAAATGCTGCTCAAAATAATAATGGGGATAGAAAACAACACTAAGACTTTTGTTGTTTTTTAGCCCTTGAAATATAAAGTAAAAAATGAGTAAGAACTCTTTTGGTTGATTGAATTCCAGAAGCCTTTTTATCCATACATAACCGTTAGCTGTTAAATTCTTAATGCAACTTCGGAAGAAACTAAGAAAAATGCCTTATCTAAAATAAATTAGATTCTAGTAGCTTCTTCCCTTCACTCAGAAAATGTTTTTATGACATGAGTTAAATGTAAAAATATATATTGTATTGCACTTAAGTGCTAAAATATGCTAAAAATGGTTTATTAGTAAATTGACATTGAAAAATGATATCTTAAATTTTTACAGAAATTTTGACGGTAGAAAATTGCTTTATATTATACGATTAAGGAATGTAAAAATTTTGTTTGTAAAAATAAATTACGTACTCAAAAAGAAAGAGTTTTAAAGTGAAATGAATAAAGCAAGAAATAACATAATTAGCACAATATAATCATGCTTATTATGTTGTTCTCTGCTCTATTGAAATAATCAACAGCTAGAAGATATGTTTTTTTCAGTAGTTATAGGAATTAAAAGTAATTGAAGTTTTCATATTATGTAGAGAGCAAATTGAATTATCATATTGTTCATACAACAATAGATATTTTCATATATAGTAAATACAGTTTTCATATCGTATAGACAACAAATGAAATTTTCTTATCATAGAAAACAAGTGAGATTTTCTTATCGCATAGACAACTCATGAAATTTTCTTATTTTCTTAGATAGCAAAAGAAGTTTGCATATCATATAGACAGCAAATGTATTTTTTTCATCATCTTATAGGCAGCAAATGAAATTCTCATGTCGTATAAACTGGGAATGAAATTTCCTTACCTTATAGACTAAAAAATGAAAATTTTCATTTCATATAGACTTCAAATGAAATTTCCTCATATTCTTATACAGACAGGAAACGGAGTTTCCATATTGTAGAGACAGCAAAGGAATTTTTTTTTAATCTTATAAGCAGCAAAGGAAAATTTTTCATCATATAGATAGAGAATGAGATTTTCATGTATTATAGACAACAAATGGAGTTTTCATATTGTAAGAACATCAAATAAAATTGTCTTATCTTATAGATAGGACATGAAGTTTTCATATATTATAGACAGCAAGTTAAATTTTTTTATCTTATAGATGGCAAATAGAATTTTCATATCATATCGACTGCAATTATATTTTTCAGTCGTTTAGACCATGATAAGTTTATATGTAAGAACTTAGATTATGCTACGAATCAGAGTAATTAAGAGGAAATAAAACAGCAAAGTTTTCAAAAAAATGAAAAGAAAATTTGCGTTGTTGGATAATTCATCCTTTTAAGATTATTGCAATAAAATGTTAATTTGATTTTTGTAAAAATGTATGTTACAGTATAATATCGCGAAAGCGGCGGGCAATGCCAGAATTGCTGTGGCAGGTATGAAAAGTGAAAATCTACGCCTAGTTGATTAATGAATTTGCTCACTGCTATCAAAGTATTTTAGTAAAATAGTATCATTTTAACTATTTTATTGCAATATTTTGTTTAAAATATGAATAAGAATTAATTTTACTTTCAGTATAATTCGTTGATATTGCAACTTATTTATCTGTAATAACTTTTAATGAAAGTTGAAAAGGGTTATTTACAATTTTGGACGTGTAGTAAAGTGACTGATGCACGTTTAATCTATCGAATTGCAAAAGTCCTCCATGTTCCCATAACAAATCAATTCCTCTGGGGGTACTGGATTGGAGATCCATCGTTCTCGGATTCAAGTCAAAATTACGATCCGCGGATGAATGAATGGATGTATGAATGGGTCCGCCCTATAAACGGGTGCGATGTATGGTGTGGCAGAAGTCGAATTCTTGGCCATAGATGGCGCCACTGAAAAACAAGAAACTCACACTCTGCCCTAAATTTTCTCGGTTTCACCAAGCAGGTTTGCTAGTATGGCAAGTGGGATTAGAAACAACAACAACAACAATTTTGGAACAATTAGAAACAAATGTAGGATCAGCAGCCAAAAAATATGCACAAAATGAAGATGACCACAGAATTTCGGCTGCTATTTCGAAAATATAAGAGGCGTCACATTAGATGTTGATTGACAGAAAAAGGGCTAATTATCATTTACGACTGATGAAATAATGAAGAAGAAGCATGTTATGTATCTGGTATTGAATCATTATAGCGAGTTGAAAAAATTTATATATCTATATGGATAATTGACCGCAAAACTCTTAGCGCAATTTTCTACTACGCGGAACTACGTTACAATTTTAAAGTCTTAATACAAAGTTCACAATAAATATATTTTTAACTGGTTTGGCTGGTTTTGAGAAATCCACGAAAATGTAACTCATTTTATGTTTTATTATAAATGTAACATAATAAAATGAAGATTAAAATTTGTATAATAAGATAGAAAAAAAAATTATGTATTCGGTTAAATTTTTCACAATAGTTTCAAAATTCAATAACAACTTTTTTTTTACTGGCTTCTTTTGTGTTGCTCTCTTCCTGAAAAATATATATGACTCAAAAAGAAAAAGAAGACAGAAAGAAATGTCATCATTTCAAAACCATTTTAATATTTTTTTATCGTATTCCTTTATCGCTTTATTTTTTTATATCTCTGAACGAACAATGTATCCTTATAATGGGGTTATTTTATGTATTTCTGCAAATTTAATACCAGTTCAGCAGACTGGCAACATTTCAAATTATGTCTCTGGTGAAGGAATAATGATAGGGAGATTTTAAATGAAATTATCTTGCATTTGCGTAACATAATTAATATGAAAATATCGGAATCTTCAACGGTTATGGTTAGTATAATGGCACCAAAGTCTTATCCGAAACTTTTGAAATATTTATTTAGAATATTTCTATACTAAATATTGTTTAAAAAATGCATTATTTTAGCCGATTGAATATTTCATTTGCAATTACAAATAATGGGAGGAAATTCAAATTAACGAAATGAAAAAAAAATGCTCAATCAATAAGAAAATCCAAAATAAGAGATTACTAACAGAGAAGGAGGTGAAAAACGGAAATAACTTTTATTATCCTGCTACGTCGCACCCGGTTGATATTGTTGGATGTTACATTTGCTTAAATATAGACCGAACTTAGTTCATAGTCAATGGTTTCAAATATTGACCGCGTTTCTGTAGTCAAATGCTTACAAAGAGTTGAGTTAGCCCAAAAATTAGAATAAATCTTGCCTTATCCAACTCCTTGTAAATAATCTGTCATTGCTAATTACCAATTCTCCCTGTGATCTTGCTACAGCATTGGTTGCAATCGCTTGATATTGCCGGTTGTAACATTTGCTGAATATCAAACCGAATTATTGGGAACCATCGTCAATGGTTTCCAATGTTGTCTCTGTTTCTGTGGTCGATTATTTACAAAGAGTTGAGTTAGCACAAAATTAGAATGAATCTTGATTTACCAAACTCTTTGTAAACAATCAGTCATTGCTAATTACCAATTCTCCCTTAAGTCCTGCAATAGCATCGGTCGCATTTGTTTGATAATATAGGTTCTTACACTTGCTGAGTTTCAAATCGAACTTATTTCATCATCAATGGTATCTTTTTCCTTACAAAAACTAGCTATGAAGGCATTTTATTCTCACGAAATCTGTCTTTATGTCAGGATTAGCATAGAAAGGGTTTCAGTGGCCGTTTACCCAATTTGTCACAAAACACAAAACACACATAGTTCTGCTTCAGTTTAATAAGCTCTCGCGATTAAACTGATCGAAGCAAATTAATTTTCCCCAGTTCCTTCTGGTATTTTATTTGTTACGTGCCTTTTTGAAATCGTATTTCGCCAGATATGTAGCTAAATATTTTCAACTCACTTTTGTTTTAGGATATCCATCCATTCACTGTATTTTTAAACATACATTTTATATCGTTTGCTGAAAACACTGGTAAATATGTATGAATTATACTGAATGTGATATCAAGGTTTAAGACATAATATAAGCACGATTTTAAGACTCCAGATGATTCACTTGAACTTCGGTTTTGAAGTATTCAAACATATTGTAGGATATTTGTCTACTCTATCAAACATAAACTGCATAAAAATCAATCCAGAACTTCTTTAAGATACTTGTGCAAAAGATGGTATATTCCTCATATGGTTATAAATTATCATATAAAAGAATCGGTCATGCGATACGAAGACCTATTTAATTGTATAAATAAGCTAAGCAACGTGACAAATAATACCACATAAACAAGCCTACTCTAACTTTGGTACAGTACTAAAGAACTTTCATCAGTGCATCCTTTAAAGTTTTCTTCTTGTACACCAATGATGGGCATTGTTAATTGCGGAATAAAAAAGAATGTTTCAATAAACTTGAAATCGGGAATCGGTTTTATTGATTTCAAGTCTTACTGCCGAATTTTTTATCGAGCAGGTGCCCTGAGTACAATAGTTTCATTATTGACTTTTCAATCGGAGAAACATATACTTATGTTAAATGAGCAGAACAATTATCGCCAGAAATGTCGAAATTGGTCTAAAATAGCAAGCCGCGTTTTAATTAATTAAAGAGAGAAGCATTAAATTCTTACCACATCAACAAATATATCTCCAATTTTTTGCTTTGTGTCCCAATATCCAAGCCTGTTCGCCATTATATCCAGGAAAGATTCATGAAACTTCAGAAGTTCCGGAACTTGCCAAAATATTCTATCAACTTGGTCAGAATCTATCTCAGTGGAATGTTCGCTACTTTTCAGTGGAATCATGTATTTCTGAAAAACAACAGATTCATAATTATAATAACTTCTTAATACACTATGAAGTTCTGCCCTCTGTTCACCCTCTGTGGTGGTCTCTAATCACCTTTGTTATTTTTTCATTAAAAATAACTTTAAAAAAATAAGATCATTTTTTTATGAAATATATAATTCTTAACATCACGTAGGAACATTTTATTAAACGTAGCAAGATGAACGACTACTTGGATTTACTTGAACTTGGAAGAAAATGCAACTCAGGTATATGGAATATAATGACGTAATGGGAAATAATAAATGAAAAGTCATTTTACTTGTTAAAAACACCGATCTCTATAGGTTTCTGGATTGATGATAGGTTTACCCATACCTAAACGCTACAAGTGAAGACAACCGAATCTCATCCTATGGTTAGGCGTAGCTCATATGTTTCGCATTGATGACAATGTGAGAGATTGCATATTTAAATAAATATTTCAAAAATTGCCAAATAGTTTTAATTAAAAAAGTAAGAAGTTTTTACGCAATTATTTTACATTGTTACATGTTAAAAGAAATTATGGTTAATTTTAATCATAAGATTCAACAAATTCATGAGGAGGAGAAATATAGTTTCTGTCAGTTCTATGACTGGAGCACTAATGGGTAGAAGATCGTCTTAGCTCCTTCGACCTGCAGGCAGTTAGCTGGGTACACAGCAATGGCCTTCACGCCTTGGATGGCCCTACCAGTAGCCCCGTTTCACCCAGGGTCATCCACCCACTTTTTTTTCGTTGCCCCAAGCTGGTCATATAACTTTTAACTACATTAAAAAAAAGAGCTTGGTACACTGTTTTTAAATGTTCCTCAACTTTAAATGTTCTTCAACTGAAGTCAAACTTCTCACTCCTTCAGTTGCCAAAATCAGATAAATGTATTACATGTGTAGAAACTTGTAAATTGCCGTTTTTTTTAATAAAATAAGTCTTAAAATAGTATTTTGGTGTTAACACGTACGGGGAGTAATAAGAATAAGGAACTGATATTAATGCTGCTAGAAGTTTAAAAGTGTACTCCCTTAAACTGCTTGTAGCAATAGAATGAGCCACCCTTTTCCAATCGATTACAGTTTTTTGTCAAACGGTTTCTTATTATTGTTATGACGATATTACTATTTTTATGACGCAATTAATGATAATACGTATTAAATTAAATCTTTCAAAACATTTATATTATAATATCGAGAATAAGTAAAAACTAAATCACATAAAAATAATAATTAATTTCAAATATTATATTTATAATTTTATACTTTTATTCACATTTTTACAAAAGGAAAAGTCATGAATGAGTAATATTTAAAACTATTTTTTATTAAAAACGAAAAAAAAATTAGTTTGATTTCCTTGCTTAAATTATGTGCCCTCAGCAATGATATAATATCATATTTATTTACGTCACTTTATGCACGTCACAACTCTTACTAATCGATAACTTAAGTAAATAATAGTGTGATGTGATTCTTCAAAAGTATTGAACGCCTACCTCTCTCAAAAGGTACATTTAAAGTTACGAATACAAACTTTACTCTGGATAACGGAAATTTGAAAATACATTTTAAATGTAAGAATTTTTTAAAATTAAACAAATTATACGTTTATTATTTCGACATTTAAATTTAATGGTAATTAATAATTTCACAGTTTTATAATTCATATTCAATGCGGAGATTTTCATTGGAAATTTCATACACGCATTATAATAAAGTTCAATTTTAATATGTATTAAAGCTTTTACCATTTTATTATGTGTGCTTTGAATGTTTTTACGTTTTAGTTTAAAGTCTTAAATATTTCTACTTAAAAACATTGATTTTGTTCACAACCTTTGTTCATGAAACATTAATTTTGAATCAGCAATTTGAATTTTTACTTTAAAGGTGATAGTTTCGTATTTTCTAAACTTTCTGCAACTCGAACACATATTGAGGAAAAAAAGTTCAATTTTGAAATTTCAAGGAAATTTGTAAGAAAAATAATAATAAAAAAATGCCTTGATCCATAACTTTAAAGTAACCAATATTATTCTGCAAAATTTTATAGAAAAAGATTATTCATTATTTAAATTTAATTGTTTAAATAATTGTAAATGAAGATTTAGCAGTTGTATATACACAGTTGTGTGTCAGTTGTATTATTCTCGCTGGGGGTGTGTCATATGACGGTGAAATCAATTAAAATCAACCTATAAACTTTGCGTAGTTTTCCAAAATTATATTTAATAATAATAATATTAACAATAATAATATGAACAATAGTAATAAAAAGTCTGTATGTGTTTCTCTCTGTTAGGTCCATAATAATTTTTTCTGACCTGAAATTTTGACAGCCAGTTTTATGGGCAATTTCAGCTCACGATTTTAATCGTAAAACAAATTTCAATTAGCACCTTAGGGAAAAATGCGTGAAAAACGAATCATTCTTCTTGGTTTACCATTCTTCATTGTTAAAAAATTATTTTTCTTCTTCATTTATCTCAAATATATCATCAGTGCTTGCTAGTTTAACAGGAATGATTTTCAAAGTCAGTATTTTATTTATATACTCTAAAAAAATTTAGTGTACCTTAGCACCAAAATTCATATTAAAAATAAGATCTGATACAAAAAAAAGAGGTAGAAAAGTTATTTCAAAAATGTAATTAAAGTAGTAACATATTTTAGGACGCATGCGCATACTAATTCTTAAAATAAATTAATTAAATTCTTAACGCTGAATTTGATGATAAGTGTACTTTCATCAAACTTTTTGGGTTATTTACCGCCAAATTTGGTGAGCTATTACACCACAGATTTTACAGTGTAGTTAAGCTTGTAATGAAGTACTTTTAACTTACAAAACGTATAAAGTATAGGGTAGAAGAAAAAACTAATAATTATGCTCTAAAACTCCAATTCATCAGTCAAATTCCTTGATTGTGCCGGATTTTGATTAAAATGTAGAGGGAGAGTTCAATAATATTATTTTCGGTGTCGACTGAAATTGAATAAAAAGTTGAGCTTTTTTTATAATCATCTAATGTAAATTCATCTTGTAGGGCAATATATTATAATATAAGAATTTAAACTTATTTTACTTTTTTAATTGAGTTAGTTCATGCTTTTCAGTTTTGAGTATGACTGACAAGGGAGACTAGGGAAGTGACTCGCCAATTTTGAAATAAACTAGTGGGATGGCCTTATGAGGAATAATTTTTGGGGACAACATTCGTTTCGGCCCATAGAAGGTCCTGTGAGAGATAAAAAATAATTCAACATATAGAAAAATCCGTATTTTATTACTTCAATGCAGACTATTAGTTATTGTAATTGTCTCATACTCCAATTAATTTGTAATTAATTGGATGATTAATTAATTTGCTAACTAATAAATTAATTAACATTCGTTTCGGCCCATAGAAAGTCCTGTGAGAGGTAAAAAGTAGTTCAATATATAGAAAAATCGGTATTTCATTACTTCAATACAGACTATTAGTTATTGTAATTGTCTCATACTCCAATTAATTTGTTATAAATTGGATGATTAATTAATTTGCTTATTAATAAATCAGTCAGAAAATTAATTACTAATTAGTTGTTAATGAATTATTATTTAATTGTTAATTAATTATTAATTGATTTTCAATTACATACTCCAACTAATTTGGAAAGTTTTTTGGAAAAAAAATTAAAAAAATTTGATGTAAATTTTTTTTAAAATTAACCTAACAGGTTTTTCTAAAAAACTACAGATATATAAAATTTTCGAAATCAATTTCGACAATAAATATGCATTATATAGTACGTGAAAATACCACAAAATTAATTGGAGTATGAGACAATTACAATAACTAATAGTCTGTATTGAAGTAATGAAATACCGATTTTTATATATATTGAACTATTTTTTATCTCTCACAGGACCTTCTATGGGCCGAAACGAATGTTGCTCCCTAAAAATTATTCCTCATAAGGCATACATCCCACTAGTTTATTTCAAAATTGGCGAGTCACACTTCCCTAGTTTCCCTTGTGAGTAGGGTTTATTAATATAGATATACTTTCAATTTATAGCATATTTTCTCCCATATGAAAAACGGGAATTCAGGTATTACATATAATATTATAACGCCCATTTACTGATTCAAAAAACAATAAGTTTGAAAAAATTCTACTACACGTTCCGATTAAAAGGTGTCTCTTAAAATATTAGTTTCAAAGAAAACATTATTTATTCAAAAGTCAGAAACTGATGTATCACGTAATGAACTGTGAGTGAATCGGAACTAAGTAAACTCTCGAGCTTCTCTCTGTGATTCAATAGTTATTGATTAGTTTTAAGTGCAATGCTTAGAAGACGCACTCATGAATATTGTAAAAGCGCCCAAAACTTGATTCGTTATGTTTAACAAGACGTGAAAAGTTTTACGCCATTATCGACAAGATTTTCATGAATTCATGACATTGACCTTGGGTGTTTGATGAGGGGCTATCCCTATATTGCTATAGTTAGAAATTGCATTTAAAAACATAACTATTGATAGTTGATAAAAAGCAGATATGTAAAGATATATATGACATACATAAAAATCAGTAAAGTAAGATATGATACACATAATAACCAGTAAAGTTAATTTCAAGCCACTGTTTTAAGTTTATTTATATACTAGGATACATATATACAATAATTCTTAAAATAAAATTAGCTTGTTAATCGAACATATAGCATATGGAGAATATCAGGAAGAACCCGAACTAGGCTTAAAACAGAAGCAAATAGAAATTAAATATTATAGAATTATTTGAATGATTTATGTAAATCTTCTTATGGGAACATAATTATCTTTACAACACAAAAAATCGGGAGAATCTTTCAATCTTAAACCGAGAGCCCTTCAAACTGCCTTTTCACGCTTCTTGAGTGGCCACACTAGATTCCTTACTTTCAACCGAGGCCAAAAAACTTATCCTGAATGTCATTGGTGCTCGACAGACATGG